CCACAACCTCATGGTGATATACAAATTAATAGAAATGGGTTAAATTAATACAAAAGTTACCCAATAAGAAGCTAGAGCTAATGGGCCAAAGAGTGATTTAATTAATACGGTTTCTGTGTGATTATTTCAGGTCTAAGGTAGCTGGGTGGCTGGGAACCAATAAGCATCCCTCTTACTACATCATATCTTTTTTTCTTTCAGTTTATTTATATGGTGGATTACATTGATAGATTTTCATATGTTGAACCTTCCCTGAATTTATGGAATGAAGCTGACTTGATCATGGTGAATGATTTTTCTGATGTGTTCTTGTATTTGATTTGCCAGTATTTCATTGAGTATTTTTGTATCGATGTTCATGAGAGAGATTGGTCTGCAATTCTCTTTCTTGGTTGAGTCTCTGTGTGGTTTCAGTATCAGGGTAACTGTAGCCTCATAGAAATAGTTTGGCAATGTTCCTTTTGTTTCTAGTGTGTGGAACAATTTGAGGACTATAGGTATTAGCTTGTCTTTGAAGTTCTGGTAGACTTCTATGCTAAAACCATTGGGCCCTGGATTATTTTGGTTGGAAGGCTTTTGATAACTGCTTTTATCTTCTTGAATGGTTATAAGTCTATTTAAATTGTTCACCTGGTCTTGATTTAATTTTAGTATGTGGTACCTATTCAGAAAAGTTTTCATTTCTTTTACATTTTCCAATTTTGTGGAGTACAGGTTTTTATAGTATGACCTAATGATTCTCTAGATTTCCTCCGTGTTTGTTGTTATGTCCCCCTTTTCATTTCTGATTTTGTTAATTTGGATATTCTCTCTCTGCCTTTTGATTAGTTTGGATAAGGGTTTGTCTATCTATCTTGTTGATTTTTTTTCAAAGAATCAGGTCTTTGTTTCATTGATATTTTGTATTGTTTTCTTTGTTTCAATTTTATTGATTTTGGCCCTCAATTTGATTATTTCCTGTCATCTACTCCTCCTGGGTGAGTTTACTTAATTTTGTTCTAGAGCTTTCAGGTGTGCTGTTAAGTCACTAGTGTGATATTTCTACACTTTCTTCATGTTGACACTTAGTGTTATGCACAATTCTTCACAGACCTCAAAAGAACAATGCTTAACTTCATATGGAAAAGCAAAAGAACCCAGAAAGACAAAACAACCCTGTACAATAAAGGAACTTCTGGAGACATCACCATCCCTGACATCAAGCTCTATTATAGAGCCACAATACTGAAAACAGCTTGGTATTGGCATAAAAACAGAAAGGTTGACCAATGGAATAGAACTGAAGATCAAGATATTAACCCACACACCTATGGACACCTGATTTTTGACAAAGAAACAAAAATTATACAATAGAAAAAAAACATCTTCAACAAATGGTGCTGACATAACTGAATGTCAGCATGTAGAAGAATGCAAATAGATCCATATCCATCCCACGCACAAAACTCAAGTCCAAATGGATTAAAGACCTCAATATAAATCCAATTACACTGAACCTGATAGAATTGAAAGTGGGAAGTAACCTTCAATGCATGGGCACAGGAGAACACTTCCTAAATATAACCCCAGTAGCACAGACACTGAGAGCAACAATAAATAAATGGGACCTCCTGAAACTGAGAAGCTTCTGTAAAGCAAAGGACACAGTCAATAAAACAAATTGGTAGCCTATTGACTGGGAAAAGATATTTACCAGCCCCACATCAGACAGAGGACTGATCTCCAAAATATATAAGGAACTAAAGAAATTTAGACATTAAAATACTAAATAATCCAGTTAAAAATGGGATACAGATCAAAACAGAGAATCTGCAATAGAAGAATCTTAAATGGCCAAAATAGCCTTAAAGAAATGTTCAAAATCCTCAGCCATCAGGGAAATACAAATTAAAATGATTCCGAGACACCATCTTATACTAGTCAGAATGGCTAAGATCAAAAACACCAATGATAACTTATGCTGGAGAGGTTGTGGAGTAAGGGGAACACTCCTCCATTGCTGGGGGGAATACAAAATTGTACAACCACTCTGGAAATCACTATGGCAGTTTCTCAGAAAATTGGGAAATCAACTTACCTTAAGAGCCAGCAATACCACTCTTGGGCATATATCCAAAAGATGCTCAATCATACTACAAGACATTTGTTCAACTATGTTCATAGCAACATTATTTGTAATAGCCAGAGCCTGGAAACAACCTATATGCCTCTCAATTGAAGAATGGATAAAGAAAATGTGGTACATTTACACAATGGAGTACTACTCAATGGTTAAAAAAAAAAACCAATGACATCTTGAAATTTGCACAGAAATGGATGGAACTAGTAAAATCATCCTGCATGAGGTAACCCACACACAGAAAGACAAATATAATATGTGCTCACTCATAAGTGGTTTTTAGCGATAAAACAAAGAATAACCAGTCTATAGTCCACAACCACAAAGAACCTAGACAACAAAGAAGACCCTAAGGGAGACATACATGCATCTGGCTAGGAAGGAGAAAAGGACAAGAGCTCTTGAGTAAATTGGGAGCATTGGGGGCAGGGGGAGGGTGGAAGGGGAAAGGGGAGGTAGAAAGGGGAGTAGAGGAAAATTTATAGCTCAATTAAAAACACAATTAAAATTAAATTTAGAAAAAACAGAAAAAAAAGACTCAATATGTTCTAAAAGGAGATGAAACATTCTGTCCTACAGCAAAGCTCCTTAAGACCAGGAAGTAAACAAATTGAAAGCTTCAAGAAGTCCCTGACACTTATCAGATTCACTAGGCCCCAACTTTCCCAAGCTGCTATGACAGGAAGGACTGCTGAGAGACACTCTCAGACCAACTGGACTTCCTAGCAGATACTCAGATCAATTCATCTGTTTAGAGGAGACGTTCCCCAAGCTTCCAGCTGTCTGTAAAGTATGCAATGAGCTCCAGGCTTCCAGTTCTTGTGAGCTGTCACCCATCCTGGAGTGAGCTTTATATGATGCAGTTGCCTTTGAGTTAATCCTTCTGTATGTAACCGCTCATCCATATTCTTGTAAGTAATCCCAGTAAATCTAATGTTCACTATTGAGGGCTGAGCTGATGCAGGACTTCCTCTAAGGTCCTGTTGTATGGAGAGCTCCTTCTAACCGGGACCATACTTGGCAGAACCAGAATTGGCCTGGGGCCAGGGCCTTGGGGGAGCTGTGGCTTCTGATCCTGAGAACAGACTTTCTACCTTACAATGCTGTGGTTACCTATCCCAGGCTGTTGTGTGTCAACTTGTAATGTTCTTGAGAACTCCTGTGTTCCATTTATGCAACATTGTTTGATTAGCTTCTTGCTAAATTCATCCCATTGTGTTATAATTTCTGCTGACTTCATAGAACTGTCCCCTTGGAAATAGTATATAAGATGCTGTACTTCCAAATAAGGCTTCCTGGGATGAGACAATGACTTATGCAAGACTCCCCCGTTCCAGTCTCATCTGTCTCCTTTAGCTGAATGGCACTGCCATTATTTTGTAACTCACTGCACTATTTTCAGTGTGGTAGTCATAGTAGCTGCATAAAGTAAATAAGGGAGTGTTTTTCTTCTTTGCCTTCTGAAGTTGATTTTTTTAAAGATTTTTTTGAGATTATAATTACACCATGTCTCCCTTCCCATTCCTCTCTCCAAACCCTTCCATTTATCCCTCCTTATTCTTTTTCAAAATCACAGCCTTTTTTCATTAATTTTATTATATGCATGTAGGTACATGTATATAATATATTCTTAAATATAGCCTGCATAAATATAGTCTGTATAATTTTAATTGCATTTATGTTTTCAGGGCTGACCACTTGGTACTGGATATCCAATTGGTGTACTCTTCCCAGGGGAAGATTATTTCTCCCATCGGAATTCCTTAGTTTTTCATAGTTCTTTGTGAAGATTTTAGGATGTGTGGGCTTTCTCCTGTCCTCTTTGGCGTTTCTATTAGTGCTGTCCTTGTTTTCAACTCATGTCTAGGCAGTAATTTGATGAAACTTTATAGGTGGAGCTTCATGTTGAAGGTTATTTCAAGTTTTATATTGGGTAGTAAAATTATGCTTATGCTCAAGGACAATGGACTGAGACAACCACTTTTCCTGTTATTTTCTCAGTGAATAGTAGCTCACAAATGGTAGCACACAGTGAAAGTTTCTTCAGTGAAGCCAAGATGTATTCAAGAAACTTTAGAGCAACATCAACAGATGAAGCAAAATATGTAATTGGATAGGTATATTCTTAAGGAGAGAATTCTGTACATAACAATCACTTATAATAACCTATTTTATTTTAAATTTATTTTTATTATTATTTTATTACTTTAAAAAATACCTATCCAAATTCCCACTCCCTCCCCTTCTCCCACTCCCTCCACACACCCTCCCACCCTTCCTGCCTACAATCCAAAGAGAGGACAAGGCACCCTACCATGTGACAAGTCCAAGGCCCTCCCTACTACATCTAGGCTGTACAAGGTATACATCCAAAGAGAATAGGATCCCAAAAAGCCAGTACATGCAGTAGAGACAAATCCCAATGCCACTGTCAGTGGCCCCTCAGTCTGCCCCAATTGTCAACCACATTCAGAGGGACTCGTTTGATCCCATGCTCGTTTACTCCCAGTCCAGCTGGAGTTGGTGAGCTCCCATTAGCTCAGGCAAACTCTCAGTTAACCTATTCTTTTAAAAATCACTCTTGTGTGCATGCTTGGTGTGTATACTAGCGTGGCACAAGCATGCTATGGTACATGGATAGAGGTTAGAGGATAATTTGGGGGAACTGGTTCTCTCCTTCCACCATAGGTCTGATAGACCATACTTGAGTCATAGGCTGATATGGCAAAGCTCTCTTACAAATGGAGCTCAGTGACCTAGCAGATGCTGGATGTCACAGTATGGATTGTGGAATTCACTCTGAAAGTTCTGTGACATAGTGTTGCCATGACTATGTGATTATATATAATAGTCATACTTCAGTTCTCAGTTTCAGTGTATCCTGAGACGTCTCAGCATACACACAGAGTAGAGAATTGCGTATATTGATTCAATAGAGAGATTAAACAATGGGGACTAGATGGTCTTGCAGAGGTATGGTAATACTCCCCTTTGAACCAAACTGACCTTTATTTCTCAACATATTTTGTTCAAATAATTTTCCCCTGCAATATATACAATTTTGATTTTGTTTTATAGTTTTATTCTATAACTTATTTATTTGATTCATCAAGTTCTTCCATAAAAAATTAAACAGGATCTCACTAAGTAGCCCTGACTGTCCTGGAACTCACTATGTAGACCAGACTAACCTCAAATTCACAGAGATCTCACTATCTCTACCTCCTGCGTACTGGAGGCACACAGCTAATGCATGTTACAATTTAGATTATATTATTGAAATTAAATTAATCTCAGAAAACTGGAGGGAATCCAAAATGTTAATGTTCTGAGATATTTTGCACAATTTATGTATCTATATCCTTATTTTTAACACAGTATCTCTTCTTCTGGAAAGATGTATTAAATCCATGGAATTATGAGCATGTGTTTTCCACTTGAAAGTTCACAGGGGTTTGTACTTCCTGTATGTAGCTGAACTGAAAACATATTCTATGTCTTATGTATATCACTAGAAATCCCAGTTATAGGTAATTTTCTGTCTCCCTTTCTTCTATAGGTAAGCATTTTCAAGGATGGAATTGCTATTTCAATGAGAAGTCACAGTTGCAATGCGCAAAAATAGATAATTGGGACCAGTTCCAGAGACTGATGACTAAGAACATGTGTATTTAATACTGACTTATATTCAGCAGTGAGTAAATGGTGTGCATGTGTACATTATAAGGGCCAATGCAAACTCTTCACAGAAATAACTGTGTTCGTCTGCATATAAACTTGTAGCATTGAAAAGATGTTAATGGCTAAGCATGTTTCCATGTGTTATGTGGCTTAGTTCTCCTGAGAGTTGAACTATAGGCTTTCTGTATCTATGGCCGGTAGCTAAATGTAGAGGCCCTCATACTTGTGAGACATTAACAATGTAAGGTAGTGGGCGTGCTAGTGCTTTCAATACTAGAGATCTTACTAAAGAATATTGATCACCCAGTATTCTGGACTTTATCTCACTGAAACAGTCCACTGACCATCACCGTGAGACAACTAGAATACTGAAGAGAGCAATATTGACCTTACTCTAGGAGTGGACACTGAGTACACACTCAGACATGACTGCTAAACTGAGTCTGGATAAAATGAAAACGTCTGCTTTCATTCCAAGCAGGCATATGTCATAGAAGAACAATGGCTTGGGAATTTGGAATCCAAGATTATCTTGAGTCTGACTCAGACTGTGCTAGGAGAACTTTGACAGTACATTCTCCCCATAAGCAACCTTCTCGAGCATTTACACTTCATGCTATATGTTCTTTTTTTTAAAAAAAAAATATTTCTTTATTATATATACAGTATTTTCAGTATTCTGTCTCCATGTGTGTCTGCAGGCCAGAAGAGGGTATCAGATCTCTTTATAGATAGTTGTGAACCACCATGCAGTTGCTGAGAATTGAGCTCAGGACCTTTTAGAAGAGCAGGCCACTCTTAGCCACTCTTAGCCACTCTTGGCCACTCTTAGCCACTGAGCCATCTCTCCAGCCCCATGCTCTATGTTCTTTAAATCGCACACCAGCAGCACAGACATATGTCCTTGTCTGCTGTTGTTCACATTCCAGGGGTGAGAGCAACAACAGATAGTGATGAAAGTGTCCAAACTCCTCTGAACTTCTGTGGAAGAGTCAAGGAGGAAATCCAGATTGTGGCCCTGATGCTGGCATTATAGACTCTTGACCTGGATCATCATTCAGTTGTGGGGTCTTTAATCACCATAGAAGATTGGGATGTCCATTAGAGATAGCAGAAGGCGGAGACTGTTTAAGAACACAGCCTGTGACAGAGGCACATAAAACCCACAATAGCACAGTACGTCGGATTTTCTGGCCTGTCTAATATAGAGTTGGGTTAAATAACTACAGTGGCCATAAAGGTCCAGATTCCCATTCTCACCCATCTCTGAGGGTTCATTGGTTGGAAATTGAACACCCACTCACACAATGTACACACAGCAAAAGAAGGTCAAAAGAGAACAAAATGTGCCATGGATTCTTTATGTGAAGTCCAATTCCTTCCACTATTCAGTAATCTCTTACTGTATATCAAAGGATGAGTCCATGCTAGTAAATCAATTTATTTTTGATAATGTGCATACCTTTAAGTTTAAATTACTATATGCAATGATAAATATAGACTGTGTGTGTGAGAGAGAGAGAGAGCGAGAGAGAGACAGAGACAGAGACAGAGGCAGAAATGAGGGGAAGTTAATCTGCTGTTAGTCAGACCACCAACCTGAGGATGGGAGACTGTGCACGGGAAGTCACACAGCGTGTTTGTCATCATCAGGTGACTTCTGCAAATGCGAGTTCTAGCAAAAAGTTGTGAAATGCTTTAGTACTGAGAGGATGACCATCAGGTATTACCCCCCCCCCCGCACTCATTAACTCTACTGTTATATCAGTACTATACCTCATTAATTTAAACTGCCATCTACCTACACTGGCCATGTAGCACATATTTTAAGTGTATATCCATCCATTATCTTCTGGAAATCCCATTCTTAATCAAATGAGTGCACTTGGAAGAAAATAATGAGGTGAACTATTTAAAGATAGAAGAGTTAACTCATTTTCCTCAGCCTAACTCTTTTTGTTGTGAATGCATTCCATTTTCAGCTGCAGTGAGAAGATTAAATTTTAAGAAAAAATGATGCGACACCATGCTGTACTTGAAGTACATCAAAATAAACTGAAGTACTTCTGATGTACTGTGGAAATTTAGAAGTTTGTCGTCAGCTATAGTTATAGATTATACCTGCATTTCATATGTAAAGGGAATGAAGCAGTATTTATGGGTGAATGTTAATTTAACTACCTCATGAGAACTACATACAGCATTTAAAAAGGTATTTTAAAATGAATTTAAAGGGTCTGAATAAATGGCTCAGTGGTCTAGAGCACTGGCTACTCTTGCAGAGGATGTGGATTCAATTCCCAGAACCCACATTGTTGCTCATGACCATCTGTATCAGCAGCTCCAGGAGATCTGACACTCTCTTCTGGCTTCCACGGTTACCAGGAATGCAAGTGCTGCAGATATGCATGCAGGTAGCACAGAGATGTACACATAAGAGCCACTCTATTCTGGCTTTCATCCAGACAGCAATGGTCTGAGCAGACTAAACAGTGACAAGATGGTGCAGGGCAAGTGTAAGAGACCTGTAAATCAAGGGAGTGTTAATGGGTAGATGAGGACGGCATTCCTAGTCTGATCCTAAGGAAGAGTCCAGGAACAATCATGTTACATAGCTGCTTAAGAGGCAGTGGGAAAGAATGAGTCAGTTTATTCTACCTCCAGCTAGGCAAAAGCAGTGGAGAGACTCCACCTTGAGTCACTGTGTGTGTCACTTTCCTCATGGCTGCCACCAAAGGCCTGACGGGAGGCTGTTTAGAGGAGGAAGGGTTTACTCTATATTTTAATTCAAGGGGATAATTCCACAAGTATGGCGAATACATGACAGGACTCATGGAAGTTGTAGAAGCAAGTATAGGGGCAGATCTTCACATTGCATTGATACTTAAGAAGCAGAGATGAACCCGGGCGGTCACTTCATACAATGAATACAAATGATGACATAGGGAATGGAAGAAAGAATGAGAAGTATGTTGTGTGTAGAGGTGACTTTAAAAATGTAAGAGTGTCAGTTCTTCTACTCTTAAATACGCTATTATTTATGTTGAAGGATGAATAGGTCCATCAAGGATGAAGGATGAATTATTGCATCTTATAGCAGACATTTGTTTCCCTAGACCGAATGTACATTATGAAGAGTAAAGCCTTTATGCCAGAGCCAGCAAAATAGCTCAAGAGGTAAATGTGCTTGCCTCCCAAAGCTGCTGGTCTGAGTTTTATTCTCAGAATGCACATCGTACACAGGAGGGGGAAGAAAAACCTTCAAAAATTGGGTCTCTAGAGATGGCTCAGCAGCTGAGAGCATTTACTGCTCTTGCACAGGACCTGGGTTCAATTCCGAGTATCCCCATGGTACTTCTCGATTATCTCTAACTTCAGTTCCAAGAGATCTGATGCTTTCTTCTGGCTTCTCTGGGCACTGGCATACATGTGGTGCACATAAATTTGTGCAGACAAAACACTCATACACATAAATCTAAAATATTAGGAGAAAACCTTCAAAATTGTCCTTTGACCTCCATACATGTGCCATAACACGAGCACTTCACACATGCATCATGTATACACATGTATACATCATGTACACACATACACAGAGAGAACAATAAATAAATATAATTTTATAAAACCTCCTAATGCTTAATAATGATTATAATCTATGCATATATCTACGTGTGGTGGTTAAAATGGGTCTGACAGCTATCTACACAGTAGAGTCAGTTTTCCTGACCTCAGAATAGTCTGGGTAAGTGTCAGAAATCTGTCCTTTCTACCTAACAACCTAACATCTATCCCAGTATTTAGAAAGTCAAGATGGATTGTTTCATGTTACTTTACATTGATTACCACGATATGGAAAGGAGAAAAGTTCTTTTCTTCATTTGTCTTCAATACAGCAACACAACCAGCTTGCTAATCAGCTACACCCCTTAAGGCTAGCCATACACACTAAATCTACAGACCATTGTCCATATCAAGCCAGAAAACCTTAGTATTTAATAAGCAATACCAAGAGTCAAGAGTTAATTGTGTTCTCCTAGTGTTTCCTAAAGAAGAGCAAATGACGACCGCTCAAGAAGAGGAGACAAGATCATCATTAGTTAAGGTACGATGACACTTGCTTTTTCTAAGATCAAAGGGTTACTTTAATGATTCGTTTATGTCTTAGTGTCTTAGTGGATATGGCATTTGAGTAAAATAAACTGACCACGTACATTATAGGAATTACAGACTTTCCTATGGGAGGGGACGTAAAGTCCATCCTTTATTGAGGACGGTGTGCAAACGCTAGAGTCAGATTACAGTGCGCGTTAGGGCCCTTTTCTTCTGATAGTTGTGTCGTTTTCATTCCAGAGTTGGCAGGTACATCATAGATTAACAAAACCCCTTTTTTAATTTGTTCTGTGTCCTTTCCTCTTTCTTCTGGGGACATTTTAGTTGTCAAGACAGATGGAATATGTTCCCCAGATGCTGATGTGGTGGAAGGTTCCTATGCCCATCAGAAGAACACTAAGCTAGTGAAATCTTTAAAGCAAGAAGGTTAGAGTAGATAATTAGGACAAGGAAGCATCTCTTAGGGATTCATCTCACCAGAGCAGGATCATATAAAGTTCCTCTGCCATGCTTTGGGGAAACACTTAGTGCAGGCCAAAGAGATCGAACTGCATGATGTAGGTTGAATCAACAAAACTGTAAAGAATACTTATTTTCTTCAAGTAGCATGCAGCCTTGAATGTTTGGTTGCAGTATCACACAACAGACTAACATGGAGTCTTGACTTGAGCACTCTTCCCTTTCTGTTACCATTGCCATAATTTAAAAGGGAACCAGAGACACATGGAAAGAGAAGTCAACTTGATCTTAGTCCAGTGGTTCTCAACATTCCTAATGCCATGACCCTTTAAAACAGTTCCTTGTGTTGTGTTGACCACCAACCACAAAATTGTTTCTACTTCATAACTGTAATTTTGATACTATTGTGGATTGTAACGTAAATGTCTGATATACAGGATGCCTGATAAGCAACTCCTGTGAAAGTGTCATCGGCCCCCCAAAAGGGTCTAGTGTCCAGGAGCTCCCACAAGCTCCGGTCAGCTGTTTCTGTGGGTTCTCCAATCCTGGATCCCCTTTGTGCATGCAATCCCTCATCCCTTTCTTCTGCAAGATTCTCAGCTCAGCACAGTGTTCATCTGTGGATCTCTGTCTCTGCTTCCATAAATTACTGGGTAGAGTATCTCTGATGTCAAGGGAAGTCATCAATCTGCTTACAGTAGATGGCCAATTCAAGCACCCTCTCCACCACTGCTGAAAGTTTTAGTTAAAGTCCTATTTGTGGGTTTCTAGGGTTTTCCCTGGCACCAGGTTTCTCCCTAACCCCAAAATTTCCTGACATCGAGTAGTTTCTTTTGTTACTCTCCTTCTCCATCCTGCCTCCAGTCGGCCTCCCACACCCAGCCGGCCGAACCTGCTTCCTCAGTTCCCAGCCCTCCCAACCCCCACCCTTCCAGTTTAGCCAGGAGACCTTTTCAACTTCCCTTCCCAGGGAAATCCACGAATTCTTATTTGGGCCCTCCTTGTTATCTAGACTCTCTAGGGCTGCAGAATGTAGATTGGTTATCCTATACTTTACTCCTAATAACCACCTAGAGTGAGTACATACCATGTGTGTCTTTCTGGGACTGGGTTACCTCCCTCAGAATGATTTTTTTCTAGTTCCATCCATTTGCCTGCAAATTTCATAAGGTCATTATTTTTTTACCGCTCACTAGTACTCTATTGTGTAAAGGTACCACATTTTCCTTATCCATTCAGCAATTGAGGGGCATCTAGGTTGTTTCCAGGTTCTGGCTATTACAAATAATGCTGCAATGAACACAGTTGAGTTAAGTGTCCTTGTGGTATGTATGTACATCCTTTGGGTATATGCTCAAAATTGGTATAGCTGCATCTTGAGGTAGATTGATTCCCGATTTTTTCCAGTATTCTTAACCTCTGATGATTCCCTATTTTTAAGAAAACACCATATCAATTTCCAGTTTGCACTCACACAAGCAGTGGAGGCATGTTCCCCTTACTGTACATCCTCTCCATCAGAAGCTGTCATCAGTGTTTTTTATCTTAGCCATTCTGATTGGTATAAGATGGAATCTCAGAGCATTTTGATTTGCATTTCCCTGATGGCTAAGGAGGCTGAACAATTCTTTAAGTATCTTTTGGCCATTTGAGAATTTTATGCTGAGAATTCTCTGTTTAGATCTGTATCCCATTTTTAATTGGATTATTTGGTATTTTAATGTCTAGTTTGAGTTCTTTACAAATTTTGGAAATCAGTCCTCTGTCAGATGTGAGGTTGGTAAGGATATTTTCCCATTCTGTCAGCTGCCTTTATGTCATATTGACAGTGGTCTTTGCCTTACAAAAGCTTTCAGTTTCAGGAGGTGCCATTTATTGTTGATTTTGGTATCTGTGCTACTGGTGTGATGTTCAGGAAGTTGTCTCCTGTGCCAATGTGTGCCACTTTCTTTTCTTTCAATAAAAATATTTTCTTTAATGTGATAAAGGCTTTATCAGTTTTCAAAATCTCTCAAGCTAGGGATATGTCAGAGCACTGGCCTAGCATATATAAAGTCACTGGGTTCAATTCCCAGCATCACAGAAGCAAATAAATAAAACAATAAAAAATTATTGCAGACATTCATTACATCTGCACAGCATTATCCAAGCACCTGCATTAATATTTGACTATCCACTGGACACTATTTACTAGCCAAAGTGACATATAAAAATTAATTATCACAACTATATGTCAAGTTCTTCTGAGCTCCCAAGGTCCAAATGAGGAGCAGAAGGAGGGAGAACATGAGCAAGGAAGTCAGGACTGCAATGGGTGTGCCCACCCACTGAGACGATGTGACAGATCTAATGGGAGCTCACCAAGGTCAACTGGACTGGAACTGATGGAGCATGTGATCAAACTGGACACTCTGAATGTGGCTGACAATGAGGGCTGACTGAGAAGCCAAGGACAATGGCACTGGGTTTTGATTCTATTGCATGGACTGGCTTTGTGGGAGCCTGGTCTGTTTGGATGTTCACCTTCCTAGAGCTGAGGACTTCCCACAGGGCAGGGAACCCTGACTGCTCTTTGGACTGGAGACGGGGAGGGGGAGAGGAGGAGAGGGAGGGAAATGGGAGGAGGGGAGAAGGTGGAAATTTTTAATAAAAAAAAACAGCAAAATAAAAAAAACACAGCAAAAGGAAAGAAAATAAAAAGGGGGGGGGAAGCCACTTTCTTTTCTACCAGGTTATTATAACTGGATTTATGTTGAGGCCTTTGATCTATTTGGATTTGAGTTTTGTGCAGGATGATAGATATGGATCTATTTGCATTCTTCTACATGTCCACATCCAGTTATGCCAGCACCATGTTTTTGAAGATACTTTCCTTTTCCCATTGCACAGTTTTGACTTCTTTGTCAAAAATCAGGTGTTCAAAAGTGTGAGGATTAATATCCAGGTCTTTGATTTGGTTCCATTGGCCCTCCTGTCTGTTTTTATGCCAATACCAGACTGTTTTCAGTACTGTAGCTCTGAGTAGAGTTTGAAGTAAGGGATTGTGATGTCTCCAGAAGGCCCTTTATTGTACAGGATTGTTTTGGCTATCCTGGGTTTTTGGCTTTTCCATATAAAGTTGAGTATTGTCCTTTCAAGATCTGTGAAGAATTTTGCTGGGATTTTGATGGACATTGCATTGAATCTGTAGATTGCTTTTGGTAAGATTGCCGTTTTTACTAGGTTAAGTCTACCTACCCAAGAGCGTGGAAGATCTTTTCACTTTCTGGTGTCTTCTTCAATTTCTTTCTTCAAAATTTAAGGTTCTCATCATAGAAGTCTTGAACTTGTTTGGTTAGAGTTACTCTGAGATATTTTATGCTATTTGTGGCCATTGTGAAGGTTGATGTTTCTTTGATTTCTTCTCAGTCCATCTGTGTACAGGAAGGCTACTAATATTTTTGAGATAATCTTGTATCCTGCTACATTGCTGAAAGTGTTTATGAGTTGTAGAAGTTCCTTGGTAGAATTTTTGGGGTAGTTTATGTAAACTATCATATCATCAGCAAATAGTGAGAGTTTGACTTCTTGTTTTCTGATTTGTATCCCATTGATCTCCTCTTGTTGTTTTATTGCTGTAGCTAGGACCTCAAGAACTATATCGAACAGAATGGGAAGAGTGGACAACATTGTCTGTTTTCTGATTTTAGTAGAATTGATTTGAGTTTTTCTTCATTTAATTTGATGTTGGTTGTTGGCTTGCTATATATTGCTCTTATTATGTTTAGTTATGTTTCTGTATCCCTGATCTCTCCAAGATCTTTATCATAAAGAGGTGTTAGAATTTGTCGTAGACTTTTTCAGCATCTAATGAGATGATCATGTGGGTTTTTTAACTTTGTTTATATGATGGATTACATTGGCAGATTTTCATATGTTGAATCAACTCTATATCTGTGAGATGAAGCCTACTTGGTGGATAATTTTTTTCTTATGTGTTTATGAATTCAGTTTGCCAGTATTTTATTGAGTATTTTTCTATCAATGTTCATGAGGAAGATTGGCCCGTAATTCTCTTTTTTGTTGCATATTTGTGTGGTTTTTGTATCAGGGTAAATGTTGCTTCTTAAAAAGAATTTACTAATGTCCCTTCTGTTGTAATTCCAGGTTTAATGAAAGGACCCTACTTAGCTTTTCAGTGATAAAAAAAATCTATATTTGAGAACTTAATGATGAGGCCAACTTATCCAGTAGTGTTAAGTTCAACTTGGGATTTCTAGTTTGAATTTATCAGACACCCTGACTCATGCTCACGCGACTCCCATGCTGACACGGGAAAGCTATGCAACTGTGTCACTGTACACACCTCAGATGGACACGTGAACGGGTGCGGTATATAAAACTAGCATTTGTGAAGTTTTGTACAGCTCAGTTCTCATATTAGAAGCCTCATAAGGAAAGCTAGATTTATACCAAATCTCATTCCTATCTGCACCTGAAATACATACAGTGACACGCTCACTAGACACCCAAGTTAAGTTTAATTCCTATGGATAGGCTTCCTGTTCACATTAGTGTCGTGTTACATTCTAAGTTCAGAAGTATGAAAATAGTAGTTTTATAGAATCAGACTCTTAAATTTGATTATATTAGTAAGACTGAAGGGAATTAGTTAGGCACCTGATACATACAGATACAGTTATTAATTCAGAGGAATGATTTGAAAGTAGCATGAATGTAATGGAATCAGATCAAATTAAAGTAAGAGTGTATATTGAAAAAAAACATTCTTTGCCATGTTTCTCTGTACCTTCAGGGAACCATTGGTAGAGGCCAAAGAGACAGGCCTGTCTCCTGGGCTGAATGTGCAAAACCGAAAACGACTTGTTTTCTTCACACAATCCCCAGCCTGGGTGTTGTGTATCAGCACAGCACAGCAGACTGCATCTGGTCTCCACCACACTTCCCCTCCTGTCTGCTATAGTGCTAAGTCAAAGCAGAGCAAACCATGTGCCCACAGCCTCAGCTTGACCTTGTCCTAAGAGTGTTTTCTATAAATTGCAGGTGCAGCCTCAGAAGAGCAGCCCCCGTAAGTACTCTGGAATGAATAGCACACGTTGTATGCAAGAATTGTGTGCACACTGATTGCCTCTTTTCTCTGGCTCTGCTAGATTCTGTCCACCTGCTGGCCATGAGCAATCTAGTTCAGTCTGAAATAACAACAAACACCCCCGTAACAAGCCGAGGACTTGTGTCTATTGTCTCCACATTCACCTTTGTTTGTAATTTGTATGTCAGGAAACATGTATATGCGTGTGGATAATGCAATTACACAATTCAACTTCCAATGTCAATTTTGAAGGGAGAAATTAGAGTTCTCACTTGACCTATATTAGCCTAAGCCTCACCACAGGCACATATGATAGACTTATTTCTCAGCATTCCCCACCATAGAAGAGCCAACCAGGATACTGAAGCTAACCACCAAGTGGCTAGCTATAGGGTGCAAGAGGAAAATATGTTACCATGTGGGTTAAAAGTGAAGCTTTACCTGTAACTTCCACTTTTCACCCTATGAAGACATGAGACTCACCATGAAAGAGCCACTTCTTCCCAGCAGAAATCCAAAGCAAATGCAACATACAGAGAACCCCAACACTGCCATGACTGCCACAGTGACCCCAAACCCAAGGTGGCATATATATATTTTCATCTGAAGTCTCTCATAACTGTGAAAGACGAAGCCCACATGGATTGGCAGATTTTCAGTCACCTTGTGGAACACCAGCTTACTTTGCAGAAGGTTAGTTTGTTCCCTGGCATTGCATCAATGGGCTGTTGTCCCATAGACCTGCAATCTTACCACTCAAGAAGGGACACATAGACGTGTAATGAGTCTCAGGTCATCCTGAGGATGAGAGGGTCTGTAGATGAGAAACTGGCATTAATGATGGAGGAGCTATCAGGGAAGGTGCACGCTAAGAGCTGGCAGTCTCCACCTTCTCTCAGTCAGCCTAGGTCAGCCTGCACAGTAGGTGCTAAAGGCTCTTGTCACCCAGAAAGTGGTGGTGTAGACACAGTTCACTAAAACACCAAAGAATGAGGCCTCTTTGCCCTGTCAGTTGGTGTGTACTTATCCAGGATTGGTCTACTAAATCAGAAGCAGATAGAGATGATATGTGGAGGGAGAGGTTTAGAAAATGTAATGATATCAGTATCTTTCACTCATCTACCTACCATGTTATTTCATTTTAAAGAAAAATCAGATCAGTGTCAATCCTTCTTTGAAGCAATATGTATATTATAAAGGTTCAAATCTTACAAGCTTGAGCTGGAGTCATTTGAATAGAAAGAAAAGAACAATTGCTGCTTTTGCACAGGACACGTGTTGGTGTCCGAGATTCATGTGAACCCTCACCACGATCTTAACTCCAGTACCAGGAGATCAAATAAGCCTCAGGGACCAGGCATGTATGTGTTGCACATGCATACTAGCAGGCAAAAGCACTCAGACCCATATATAAAATGAATGAATCATTTTCGTAAAGTCCATACGCTCAGGGAGCAAGAGAGGACTCAGTGCATAAATGAGCTTTCTTAGCAGGTTGATACCTGCAACTGAGTTGGATTCCTGGAATTCATGGAGAGAGTGTAGGACAGAATCAAGTCCATAAAGGTGTTATCTGAAGTGCAGAGAGCTGGTCCATGAAGAGTGGCCCTGTACACAGATCTATACAGGATGATGATGGGGATGCTGATGATGAAGAGGAAGTTAAATTTCAAGATAAAATCATATATATAACTAAGGTAGATAGAGGATCTTGTTTGCTAATCAGTCCTGCTTCAAATATGTTTGGCTGCGATGGAGAAAGCAGTGTCATATTTCCTGATTGCAATATGACTAGCAGAAGGGATGGAAATCAGTCAGTTTATCACAACATTTCTTTCACCGCTTACCCAATCATAGACAGATTGCTTCATTTGGCTTAAGATTCTCATCATTTGAGATTCAAAAAAATTCCATTTCTCGTCCGTCTTCAGCTCTTCACCTGCTTTCCCTTCCCTGGCAATGAGGATGGTCAACAGCACACCAACCTTAGCTGCTCACACAGCAAAACCGTTATGCCAGCCATACAACTCAGTTAGGGCCCACTGGGCTGTCACTAATGTTATTTTGTGTCTTCCCAGTGCTCCCTGGGCAAGCTGTGCAGACCTTGAAGGTTGAATATTGGGAAGCTCCATTCATGGTCAAGGTAAGGTGGACTTTGGCTTTTCTAGACAGAAAGGTGGCACTTTTGACTCTTTCCTGTTCATTGGATTTTTTGCTTGAATCCAACTGGACATGTACACTATGGATAATGGAGTGTTCACTTGGGATGTGGAAGAGATGGAGTCGTATCAGCACATAGATACCTTCTCATATAAAGGACCAGTGTCAGCTCCACACTCTATGTTAGTCATTTTTTTCTCCTGAATCAAGGGTTTCTATTTTGACTAACCTTCTGTGATTTTTCACTCAAGAGTTGACTGGTAAATTAACAGTGACTTTGAATTTTTGATGTGTAAAATATCCTTGGCTCTCAAGGGAATTCGGGTTTTTTTTTCTTCTTAAAAGAAGCTTTTAAATTCTGTAATATGGGGCAGGCATGGTCAACTCTCACAGTGCCACCAAGGTAGTCTGGTAATTTGGTACAGAAGGATATGATCAATAATGCACTAGCTTAGGATACAAAACAGCACATGAAGGTGGATCCCAAATACCCTGGGGTGGAGTTGGGATAAAGATGAACAGGGCATGGTATGGGAGATGGGAAGCTGGTGGACTTGAGCTCAGGTTGGTCTTGAGTGGTGAAGTACAGACGGCAGTTCAAACACCATGCTGCAGCCTATGCTGCAGAGGATGTGGAGTTAGGGGAAACACTCCCCTATTGCTGGTGGTACTGCAAACTTGTACAACCTGCTTGGTAATCAGTTTGGCAGTTTATAGAAAATTGGGACTCAGTCTACCTCAAGACCCAGCAATACCACTCTTGGCCAAATGCAGAAGGATGCACACTCACACCACAAGGACACTTGCTCAACTATGTTATTAGCAGCATTATTCATAATACCCAGAAACTGAAAACAACTTGGATACCACTCAACTGAAGAATGGAGTATGGAGGGCGATGGGATGGTGGAAGTGGCGAGTAGAAGAAGGAAGGGAAGTGGAGGGGATGTATACCACCTTCCTATCCAAACAATTAAATGAGATAAAAAAAATAGGAGTAGAAAAGAAAACTGCAGACTGGATAGCAGCTGCTGTGGGTGACAGCTCTCTGTCCTGATCAACAGTCTGCCCCTCTAAACCACAGCGGTATCTCCTGGGCCCACTGCAACATTCACTTACATGGATGAAAATCTTGCAGATGATGTGAACAATAGTGCCTCCAGTGGTAGACATGAGGTGTACACCAGTTTAGTGAGTGTGTCCTAGAATGGCTCTTACTTAAAACAGGGACCACATTGTACCCTTTCCAAACCGTGAACACCATAGACCAAGAGCTCATGTAGCTGGTCAGGACTGGAAAGAACTGCTTCCTCCTCAAGTCCTAGTGGTGCTCACCAAGGATGCTCTCTGGTGCCTGGGTCATTTTCATCCCCACCAGCTTGAAGTCCAACTTCTCAAACCATTGGATAACTGCCCCAACTAGCATCTACTGCATCATTCAGGAGTAAAGCAGCCAGGGTCCAATGCTGTGGCCATGACAGCCCTCCACAATGGGGTACAGCAATCTTCTGGGGAACTTCCAAGTAATATGTTTCCTAAATGCCAAGATAGTCAGTGACTTCTAGGACCCTTAGGGATCATTGTGGTCATTAGCTCTTTAAAGAGAGCTTAGAGTAGAAAATTGGGACATGGAAGAACCACTTAGGAGGAACTCCTGTCAGAAGAGCACTGTTTCAGAGACACTTTTCAAGGTAGTTTGGGAAATTCCGTGGGACAGCCAAAGTTGCAGAGTTGCAGGATCTGGAAGACCAGGTAGATGTGGGAACTGTACTTTTTGTCACCACATGGTATGTAACCACATGGTACACATTTAGGAACAACATCACACAACAGACAAACAAGGAATCTCAGTTTAAATAGTCTTACAAATTGGTTCACCATTGCCAAAATCCTCAGAACGGGCTGGAGAAGGCCTAGGTGTTAACAGAACTGACTGGACATGCAGAGGACCTGGGTCAGTTTCTAGGACTGGTGTGGTGGCTCACAAATATCTGTAACTCCAGTTGTAGGGGATTGCGTCATCATCTTCTAATCACAGACACTGCACACAATATGCTGCAATTGCACCTTCATAGGCAAAATGTTTATACGTATAACATACAGAAAAATACGCCTTTTAAATAATCATTAGTGGAAAAAAATGTGTGTAACTATAATTCAAAGTGATGTTGGCCTAAGACTATTTTCTCTACATTGCAGATCCAGTCCCGAAAGAGAAGATCCTGTATGTATTCTGGCATAACTTCCTTAGGGCACAGTTTTCTTAGAGGAGAATGTTGTAAATGCCGGTTGTCCTTTGCCTGCTCACCACTATTTTTTTTTCTTTTAGTAGCTGACTGTCAATGGAGACAGCCAGTGTAGCCTAAATAACAAAACAGCAACTGGTACCCAATAACAAATCAAGTTCACGCCCCACTAATCCCTGCATTTACCTCCAAAATTTCCTTCTCTGGAGATGTCTGCAAGTGGGTTTCCCCTATTACCTCCCAGTCTATCGCCCAATCTTCACCACAAAGTCAGAATTCACACTTTGCCTACATTACATTGTTGCAACTTCGACCAGTCATATATGGGAGATTTCTCAGCTTACCCTCTCAACTTAGGAACCAAGCAAGATGCCAGGTTGTGCCTGGAATCAGTCAGGCAAGCTATGGAGGGCTGGAGCAAATGGGTTTCCAAATATGAGGTGTCACCCTCTACCTAATGCCTCACCAGGACATGAGTCACTAGGGAAGAGGTCTACCTCCCAAGAAAACCCAGAAAAAGGACAACCTGCAGAGAATAAAAACACTGCGATTCCTGCCATGCACACCAGACACCTGGTGCAGGGTCCATGCACCTGTCTGCATGTCTCCACAGCTGTGAGTGGCTAAGAAAGCCCAGGTGTGCTGGAAGAAAATTGCACAGCCTATCTCTCATGAGATCCTGAGTTTGTTCCTCTGTTCTGTGTAAACTGGGTTATTGTGGCACTCTGCAGGTCAGAGGCTCAAGGTCAACTCCAGTCTCATGTCAAGCCAGTGACATGAGATGATGTGTGGAAACAGCAACCACCGTGATGAAACCCAGAAAAGAGTCCACCTGAATCTGGTCACAGTGAAACATACAATCAGAAAAGTCTATACTCAAAGACAAAGTGGATGTGTGTCATAATTGGGTTCCGTTTAAACACGGCTAATTCTAGTAATAACTGGTATCATACATCATCAATAAGGAGGTCTTTATTATACACACACAGGACCACACACTCTGCTATGGCCTTCTATCTACAAAGAACTCCAATGCCAAGTTATCACTCAAGGCTCCTTGACCATTCTTTTTCAAAGACATGCTAGACTCTATGCCTATAAATACTTCCCAGCACAGAGTCAGATTCCGTGTTGACTGACGAGTGTGAGCAAAGGAAGCAGACACAGAGATCTCCATCCACTCACTGTATACACACAGTCAGAACTGACTGGTGTATGACCTCATGACATCATTTCTCAACTACCTGGTGTTTCAAGCAGTTTTTGCTTTGAGGCATTGGAAAGGAGGATTTTGGTCAAGGGGAGTTAACACTGTCTTTTGCCTGGATGGCCTGTATAGGGTGGAGGTGACTTTTGTCTAGAAACTGGACTTTGGTGAGGAAGGCCACAGCCTGAAAGGTGCACACACAGACTAACACAGCATTCTTCCATTCTCCCAGCTGGGCCCAAGCCAGGTTCATGAGATTCTGAGGTGACTGTCATCAGAAAGGGGTGTGAGGACACAAAGTCCATTAAATGATCAGAGCACCAAGCCTCTTGTCCTAGAACTTGATGTTATAGGAGTTTGTGTAAAGTTGGTCAACTGAAGGGAAGTGTCTTTGTCTCAAACATTGTGTGACAACCAAGTTAGAATGGCTCGGAGCCTGAGTCACTGTGTGCTCTCCTCCCCATGTGCTTGTCTTTCCATTGCACACGTCCACTGAGAGACAGCCGAGAGCATGAAGGTAGAACTCCCCTGGATCCATCACACCGTGGGCATGGCAGGAAGTGGCCTCTCTTGTTTTATAGATGGAAAAATAGGAACTGCAATATTTAATTTAATGAAGTGGTTAGGTAGCAATGAAATGAAGGTGACTGAAAGAGGAAGAGGTGAGAAGTAGCAGGTGTAGATGGCGCCTTTCCTGCCTCCTCCTTGGAGGTGATATTATGCGCTTCCCTGAAACTGGAAACATCGTGATTGGGAAAAAGATGAAGAGCACTGTGTGCTGCCCAAAGGCTGTGCGAACACCGTCTCTGGTTCTAGCCCTGAGGTCTAGCTGATTCTCTGGCACTTAGGAGACTACACACAGCTCTTCTGTAGACTTGTGCTTTTCTTTACGGCTTTACAGTCATTGGGTTTTCGTTGTTGATGTTTTTTGTTATTGTTGTTGTATTGTAGGCTCACTGGAGTTAAAAATGAGTCCTCAAGAGAAATGTCAGCTTTGAAAGAATGGAGTATGAGGAATTGCACAAATTTACCTCTGTTCAAGTGTCTTTTAAAGCTATTTGCATGTGGGTACCTGGTACCATGCCCACACCCACACTCACAGTACTCTACCCTGTCTACTGACCACCCATACACACTGACGCTTCCCTACACTTACCATGGAGTGGATAGGTGAAGTGTACACAGGTCTCAGAGGTCGTCCAAGAGTATCAATGGGAACAGATGATTGTACTTCAAGAAAGTAATGATGTCAATGCTCAAACACAGAGCAGTTATGGGTTTTCATGGATTTCTTCAAAATATTCAGCTCTTAACTTTTTTTCCCTGTGATGGCGGCCAGTGTCAGCCATCATGAAAAGGCTACAATTAACCAACAAACACTCCTTGAGGCAGCGTGTCTTCACCGTAACACAACATCCTCCTGAAAAAGAGCAGCAATGCAGCTTCATGAAAGAAGGTACCCACAAAATGGAGTGACCGCTTAACACATTCACAGTAGTTCTAGAGGATTCTTAATCACACATGTAAAATGGATGATGTCTAACCCTACACCTTACTGGATGGAAGACTGACTTTACCTAGTTCATCAATAAAACAATGCCCAAGGCTTTTCAAAAGCATTTGAATATTTATTTAACCTCTCTTTGAATACTAGAAAGCAGAGGGAAAATGGGGTTGTTTTCATTGGATGGAATGTGATGTCACATGCTGTAGACAGCAACATGTGTGTGAGCCACTCTCTCCACCAATTTTCTTTCAGACCAAGTGGAGCAGGAGCATGATGAGGACAATCTCAGTCTGCTGATCAAGAGTGAGGAAGGGGTGATCGGTAGGTACTGGCATTCCTACTTAGATGGGTGGAACAGAATTAAGGAGGAGTTGGGTGTCTCCTTCTATGAGAGGCAGATGAAGTGGGAAAGTAATTACATGAACTCCCTGGTCAATATAGAATAATGGAGAGAATCTATGACCAAAAACGGAACAAGACACAATCTGAGGTAGATGGGGTTTATTCTGGATGGTGATACAAGGCTATGGTGTCATCCAGACAGAAAGGACATGGCAGTGAACAGAGCGAATGTGGTCATATTGCATACATATTCAGGAAGCAGAGAGAACACAGAACTTGAGTCGGGGAAGGTTTTATATATATATATAATAGAATATATGATAGAATATATCATAGAATATATATCATAGAATATATATATCATAGAAGATCATTGGCTTGAGAAATGAAATCAAGGAATCAAGGAAGTAGTGATTCTTTGAAAAATGCTAAACTGTGAGGCCAATGGCAAGACCATCTGACAATAGCTGAAACTCCTGGACATTAATATCACATGCTTGATGTTCATTGTGCTGGTAAGGAAAAGCACAGTTATTTGTTCTTTCTTGTGATGCACATTGCCTGGTTGTCATCAAACAGACCCAGCAATAAATGGACCAAGTTTCATGATGCTCATGTAACATGGCCATGTTTAGCATCATAAATTTGGACCATGATTCGGAGGTCCTAAACGGTTAATCTCTGCTCATTTTTCAGCTGTAAAATCATGATCTATGACTCTACATGAAAGGTTAATGTTCTGTGTAAATAACTGACTTTCAGATGCACACTGAATTCCATGTGATGAGGGGGAATCCCAGCTACCACAGTCCATTATTGTAGGGAGGAGATAATGACGCTGGGATGTCAGGTTTTCATCACTATAACAATTGGGACAGCCCATAGACAGAACCAATGCTGATTGGAGTGTTGATGCTCAGCATGTGGGATATCTATATTCTGTGGGCACTAGGTCATCCCTGAACCATGCCCTAAACTTTTCAGTAATGAGGAGGTCTGCTGTTCATATTAGGAGTCTAGAAAAATGTATCCAAGGAGTTTGGAGGCTGTGTAATCTATCCAACCTAGGATAGTGGAATAATAACCCTAGAATACTACTTGTGGGCTAATATGATGCTTCACCTCTGTGGGAACTCATGTGGAGCTGTGGTATAGATCTCCCAAGGTCATCAGGGCAAGGGTCAAAGGTACTTTGAAATTAATGGGAGAATTCTTGGAGAAGGTATTTAAAATGCAATGTTGAAAGTCATACACAGCATCATTGTATGATGCTGCACAACACATTTAACAGGGATGATGTCTAACTCTCCTTTTTAACATATGATAAAGTGTGACTTTACATAGCTCATTAATA